AAACACACCACATTGAGATCATAGTTTAACAGAAACATAACTGCCGAACAGGGCAATAAAAACACAATACGATTGATTCTCTCTTCTTCACACACACGAACCGAACAACTAATAAACAAAGGAACAGCACAAATTGCATTCTCATTGCAATCCAACGAAGAAATTTTATTTTCTGATAAAATTCCACTGGAAAAACATTTATTTGACAACTATTTCTATATTTTGAGTCCCGGCAACAAGAAAATAACACTTTTTGTACAATTTTAATAAGCAAAATACATTCTTTATAACGATTTACATTTGACGAACACAATTCACTACCGACCGGCATATCAAACGATGAACAACTAAAGGAGGAAACAAATTGGAATGATGTACAGTATTGTCAGCACAAGAAAATGAAAAATCGTACTTATTTGATAAAAATCGCTAGACGATTGGGCCAAAGAGAGGGCAGTTGTCAAATTGATCAAGAGAATAAGACAAGCATAAGAGAATGCTAAACAGGAAAAACTTTTGTTTACGCAAAAAACTACTGGAAACTCATACATTATATTATATTAAATAGTTACCGATCAACCGCCTTTATAAATTTTTACAAAAATATATATAAATAATTGAAACGGCCATTTAGACACTTATTTTCCTTATTTTTTTATTTATTTTTTTTTTTGCCAATGCTATCACGATTAAATTTCTTGCTATTTTAAATTTTTATTCAAAAGCCATTTCAAAAACACATCACATTGAGATCAATGTTAAACCGTTCCGTAACTGCCGCAGAAACAACAAAAGCACAATACGATTGATTCTCTCTTCTTCACACACACGAACCGAACAGCTAATATGCAAAGGAACAACACAAATTGCAATCTCATTGCAAGCCAATGAAGATATTTTATTTTCTTAAAAAATACAATTGGAAACACATTTATTTGACAACTATTTCTATATTAAGAGTCCCGGCAACAAGAAATTACACTTTTTATACAATTTTAATAAGAAATACATTCAATTGACCGATTTACATTTAACGAGCACAATTCACAACCGACCGGCATATTAAACGATGAGCAACTAAAGGAGGAAACAAATTGGAATAACGAACAGTGTTGTCAGTACAAGGAAATGAAAAATCGTAATTATTTGATAAAAATCACAAAACGATTGGGCCAAAGAGAGAGCAGTTGCCAAATTGAGCAAGAGAATAAGAAAAGAATGTGAGACATGGAATGCCAAACAGAAAAAACACTTTTGTTTACGCGAAAATCTACTGGAAACTCATACATTATACCATTTTTTGATTTTTTTAAATAGTTACCGACCGAACGTCTTTATTAATTTTTGACAACTAAGGAAAAAATAATTGCAACGGCCTTTTAGACTACCCTTTTTTAATTTTTCTTTGCCAATGCTATCACAACGTTAAATTTCTTGCTATTTTGAATTTATTTTCAAAAGTCATTTCAAAAACACACCACATTGAGATCATTGTTAAACCGTTCCGTAACTGCCACAGAAACAACAAAAGCACAATACGATTGATTCTCTCTTCTTCACACACACGAACCGAACAGCTAATATGCAAAGGAACAACACAAATTGCAATCCCATGAAGAAAATATGTTTTCTGATAAAATACAATATAAAACACTTTTATTTGATAACAATTTCGTTATATTGGAACTGAGCAACAACATTCTACACATTTTATGGATTTTTTTCTAAATACTACCTCTAATTAAACGATTTACGATGGACGAGCACAATTCACGACCGACCGGCTTATTAAACGATGTGCAACTGAAGGAAGAAGCAAATTGGAATGATGAACAGTGTTGTCAGTACAAAGAAATGATAAATCGTAATTATGTGCAAAAAATCGCAAACACCATACGCCGAAAAAAGTCGCAACCAAATTAAGCAAAAGAGCAACACATGTATAAGAGGCAATGAAGTCAACAGAGAGAAAAAAGATTATTTGGTGGAATAACTGCAGGAAACACATTCATTTGATAATTATCTGATAATTAAGAAATTGCTTGACGATAATTCCCACTTTATATAGTTATTAATTAAATAGGAACCGACAGCCTTTATTATTTTTCTGACAACTTTAGGAGCAAATAAGGAAACGAAATAATACCACACGATATAATGTTACTACTTTGATATTTTCAGTAAATAATTTGTAAAGTTTCTTAAAATTTCTATTTTTTATTTAAAAGACATTTCAAAAACACTACACAGATCTCACAGTTAAACAGAGCAATAACTGCCGAAGAAGGTAACAACAAATACAACACGATTGATTTTCTCTTCTCTACACACACGAACCAAACAACTAATAAGCAAAGTAACAACACGAATTGCAATCCCATGAAGAAACTATGTGTTCTGATAAAAAATACAATAAAAACACTTTTATTTTACAATTATTTCATTATATTGGAACTGAGCAATAATATTTTACACTTTTTGTTATGATTTTTTTTTATAAATACTAGCTTTAATTCAACGATTTAGGATGGACGAGCACAATTCACCAACGACCGGCTTATTAAACGAGAGACAACTAAAGGAATAAGCAAATTGGAATAGGGAACAGTGTTGTCAGAATAACGAAATTAAAAATCGTAGATATTTGCTGAAAATCGCTAACACCGTGCACCTAAAGCGAAAGAGCAATACAAGTAGGAGAGGCAACGAAGACCAAAACAGAAGAAATATTTTTTCTCGTATTACAATTGAAAACACATTCACTTAATAATTACTTGATAAGTAAGAAATTGGTTGACAATTCTAAAGATGTTGACGGATCGATCGTCTTTTATAATTTTGGGCAACTAGAAGACAGCAAAAGTCTCTTCCCTCTGCCACATCCCACATCATCTTTAATATTCGTCCGACAATGTAAAAACGACTTTAAACGAAACGGTCAAAAAGGACACGATACGATTTTACGACGATATTTTCAGCAAAAAATAATTATTATTTTTTTTTCAATTTTGAATTTTTATTTAAAAGACATTTCAAAAACACTACAGAGAGATCATAGTTAAACAGAGACTTAACTGCCGCAAAAAGCAACAAAAAACACAATACTATTGATTCTCTCTTCTTCATACATACACGAACCGAACAACTAATAAGCAAAGGGACAATACAAATTGCAATTTTATTTTTATTTTCTGGTAAAATTAAATTAGAAAAACATTCATTTGACAACTATTTTGTTATTTAGGATCGCAGTAACAATAAATAACACTTCCTTTTACATTTGAATTAAATAATTTCTTTTATTCCACGATTTACGATGGGCGAGCACAATTTACGACCGACCGACTTAATAAACGAGAGGCAACTGAAGGAAGAAGCAAATTGAAATGGTAAACAGTGTTGGCAATACAATTATATGAAAATCAAAATTATTTGCAAAAAAACGCATTCAAAGATTAACAATTAAACGATTAACGGCTAAGTGAAGAAGCAAATTGGAATGGTAAACAATGTTGGCAGTGAGATTTCGTACGAAACAACTTCTGCATATGAGAATGAGACCACGAAACAACTTCTGCATATTTGAAGCGGAACAAAATAAATGTCAATGTCATCGTGGACCAAAACATGAAAACTGGATATGTTTCCAAGAAGGAAGTGTTTAGCAGCTTCTTTCTAAGAGAGTAAGGTAGTTTTATTATATTTTGTCAGAAAACTCTGATAAGTAAACAGACGCATTCCTTGCAAAGACTTGCAAGCAATCATCTAACTTGTAAAAAAAAAAAACAATTTGTCCGTCAAAAAAGGAATGAAGCACAAACAATTAAAAATACGCCGAAAAACAATTAGGCTTGCGATTTCGAAAATAAATGTCTTAAAATTGCTTGTCAAAACATAAATTATCGGAGGGAGAAGAAGAAGAGAAGCAAGTGATTGCAAGAAATTTGTAACGGTTGATCTCCAGTAACAATTTGCAAACAATTGTTACAATTTTTAGAGTAACCAGACACAGCCTGTTTTTTAACAGTATTTTTCCTTTCGTTTGGAAATTTGGCGAAAAAAAAATATAAAGTTTGGGTTTTTGTAGTGCAGGTTTTTTTTTTTTTTTTGTCAGTGACATGCCCAAAAAAAGCTTTTCCCCTTCTATTTTTGGGTTTTGTAACGAAAAAATACAAACAAAAATGTCCTTGAACTGTTTCAGTTCATGGTTGGTTTATCTTTCAGGACTGTAATCTCCAAATATTTTCTTGACATTTTTCAATTTTATTTTAAATTTTTTTGATAAATTTTGAAATTCTTGGGATTGCCACAACCAGCACAACCCCTAATGAAATTAAATAAAAAAAAATTAAAAAAAACAATAGTTTTGGAAGCACTGATATATCAAAGCTTTTCGGGAATGGAGGAAAGCTTTCAAAATATTTATAAAAACCCAAATTAAAACGAATACGTTTGAACACGAACGATTCGGGTAAAAACTACTTTTTTACAAAAACAGACTGTAAATTTTAGTATTCAGACTCAGTTTTGATATATTTGAATTTAATGCAAATTTAACTCTTATTTAATTTATGTTTTTTTTTTATATTGTCTGATTCTATCTCACGGAACGATTTTAAAACTTTTTATAATTACCATCATAACTATAAAAATTATTGTTAATATTATTTTCAATTTGTTATTATATGAAAAAAAAACATGGGAAGAAGACAAACACCATTAATGATCCTTCAATAATTATATTGCTATTTTTTATTTTTTTATGTAAACATAAACGTACATACAAGTAATTCAAAATAATTTCATCACACCCTATAAAATAAAATATATAAAATAAAAAAATAGTAATGTTAAAATAATTAAGTTTAACCAATAACACAACGAAATTTTGATTTTTCTTTCTTTAATTGAACGAATAATATTTAAAAAAAGTTTTTAAATTTAAAAAAAAAAATACAATTTACAATAATTGTAGAAATTCAAACATTTTTATAAAAAAAATAAAATTTAAAACTATTATTTATTATAGCTAAAAACAAGAACTAGTTGCTCAATAAAAAAAAAGGAAGACTATGTGATATTTATAAAGAGACTATAATGCCAAAATGTTCATGCTAAATAGGAATAGAATAGTCAAAGCGCGCAGGAAAATGATATGGGGGAGGGGTGTGGAAAGAATTGTTTTTGTGTATTTTAGCAATAAAACCTAATTACCAAACTAAACTAAAATATTATATAACAAAATTTCAACAATTTAAAAAAAAAACAATTTTTCCTTTATAAAAGTCTGTATAATTAAACCTAGAGAATAGAAACCTTCCAAAGTAATCCAAAAGAATTTGATGACTATGTCCTATAATGTATATATGTATATGTGTAAAGGAGTCCCCTCATTTGTGAGAGAACTGCTAAGGCTAGTTGTTTGGAAAAAAGGCACCTGCTGTTTAGTAACCTGTTTCAGGTTCCTGTTTTAAAGTCATGCGATAGGCATCACTGCCATCAATCATGGGATTTAGAATGTAATTGGAGTTAAGGGAGGTGGTGGTATTGCTGCTGGTCACAGGAAGATTGCTGGGTAGGGCAGATAAGGCTTCGGAGGAGCGTATTTTTAGTGGTGCTCTTCTAAGCATTTCCTCTGGGGTGCCCTCACTCCGATTATATTCATTTAATGTCATTTCTGCAGGATTACGTGGCTGACTGGGATTGCTGCTGTTGTTGTTAGTATTAACGGGGTTAGATGATGGGCTAGAATCGGATCTTTGGTAGGGATGATTGCGATGTAGTGGTGGCGAGTTTGTAGGCATGGGTCCCGGTCCCATATTATGTTGTGAATGCTGCTGGCTCTGCGTCTGTGGTTGTTGTTGTTGATGATGATGCGGTGAATTGGAATTGGCTTGATGATGTTGGAAATTGGCTTGTTGTAAATTGTTCTGCATTGCAGATCGAACTTGATTGTATGAATCCAAATATTGTTGATTGACATTCCGTGAAAGATCTGCCTCATTGCTGCGATCGCTGTCATTTAATAATGGCGAACTGGTTTCGCGACGCATTGCCGGTCCCGTTGCCCCGGCTGCTGCATTCATTTGATGGGAGGAACGTGAAATCAATGAAGTCATTAAATTAAAATGACCATTCACCGAGCTGCTTTCCATCATCAATTGGGCCTCCAATGAATTGTCCATGCATGTGGAAATGGCATCATTTAAATGATCACTGCTTGAGGGTGACGATAGCACATCCAGGGAAGAGGTAACTTGACTAACATCCAAACCATGACTGGGACTGTAGTTGTTTAGATTGGGTGGTGTCAGTGGAGTATTGTTGTCGGTTAATTCTCCTAGAAAAAGTAAATAGAATGGGTTTAATTTTGAAGCAAAATAAATTGTGTTTTTATTTTGTACATACCTCCCAATAACATTTCCTGTAACAGCGAATCAATGTGAGCCACTCCAAAGATTTTGGCAAACTGAATTTGTTCTATCATTTGCCAGGTTATGGACTGCAGCACTGGTAATATGAGTAGAATTTCACCAAATCGTCCCCGCGATTCATACTGGCGATCGGAGACATAATCTTCCAAATTATTAAGGATTTGATGGCGCAATGCCTTTATGCGTTGGGGTTCGTTAAGGCCACGGGCATCTGAAAAAGAAGGAAAGGCAAAGTAAATTATAAATCTTTTGAATTATAGGAAAAAAGAGAGACTTATTATGGACCTCAAGGAATTTAACATTTCAACTGTGGAAGACTTATAAAATAGGTAAGAAATTTAAACATATCAGAATTATAGGGGATATTAGAACCGTACAATTGAACCGTAGAAGACAAATAAAATAAGTGATGGTCCATCGAAAGCACAGTTGAATATTAATTAATGGTCGATTTCAATATGACGATTCGAAGGCGAACTCGAAGGAAAAACACCCATTTTATAAATATTTGTTTTAAATTAAATAAAAATCAAAAATTTGAAAACACATGGATCCGATCTCTACCATCTTTATAACAGATCTTGTGTTGATGGAAATATTAATTTCTATCAAGTCTGAATGGAATCGGATGTCAATTTAGCGTTCTATGAGCTTAATAAATATTCAGAATTTTGACCCTTTGTGGAGGAGGTACCAGAAGGAGTGGTCCGATATATTCCATCTTCACACCACACCTTGGGTTAATAAAAATATTGTGATGTGTGTAATATGAAGAGAACCTGATGATTATTTCGGATTATATGAACGTTTTGGTTATTCAAAACTTTCGCCAGTTGTGGGGGAGGCACTAGAAGGAATGGTCCGATCTCTACCAACTTTATAACAGATCATGTGTTTATGGAAACATTGAGATGTGCCAAGTCTGAATGGAATCGGCTGTAAAATTCGCTTCATGAGTATTCAAAATTTTGACTCTTTGTGGGGGAGTTACCAGAAGGAGAGTTCCGATATATTCTATTTTCACACCGCACCTTGGGTTAATAAAAATATTGTGATGTGTGTAATTTGAAGACAATCGGACACTTATATCACATTTTATAAGAGTTATAATTATTCAAAATTCTGACCCTTTGTGGAGGAGGTACTTGATGGGGTGGTCCGATATTTTCCATTTTTGCTCCTGACCTAGCATTGATGCAAATATTAGGATTTGTGAAGTTGAAGCCAAATCAGATTATCATTTTTTTATGTGTATTAAATTATTTTCTTTGAAAATGTGGTCATTTTGTGGGGGAGGTACTAGGAGTGGACCGATATTGCCCATCTCCGACCTCGATCTAAGATTGACAATAATATTACAATGTACCAAGTTTTTATGCACCTTCGAGAGTTATCGTGCGCACCAGCCAGACAGACAGACGAACGGACATCGCTAGATCGACTCCAAATGTCCTGAAACGGATTTGGTCCAAAGAGACCTAGGGTCTAAAACCTTTATTTCGATGAGGCACGTTTTGACCGTATCAAATGATAGAGAGAGAGGTATAGCCGCATGGCTGAGGATATAAGAAGACATTTTAACTACAGCGACAATCTAATTAGACTATAAATACATAGATTAGGCCATGTAATATACAGCAGTGAAGACATACAATTGGACCATTTATTTTAAATGAGATGACCAAAAAGGTAATCCGGATATAGACAATAAACCATATATTCTTTTTAATCAATGAAGTTATGAACCATTTCCTGTACTATTTACGACTGCTATGAATAGTGTCAAATATGGCCATTAGTTCTACCGTTAATTACAACTATCGTCACCAACTTTACATCGGATAAGCAAATTGGCCCTATTTTTTCTAAGAATGGTACTTAATTTTCTCATGGTAATATCTGTTGAACTCAAGGAGTTACGGTCCCTTTAATTGGAGTTCGCTATAGTATGAGTAAAGGGCCACAATAATAAAAGGGCAACTACTCTACAAAAGGGTCCGTATACACTGTAATAGGTAACAATATTGCCACCCTCTTCCGCAGAACTGACAATGCATTTCCTCGAGGTTCCCTACCACCTATCCAAAGCAGCCTTAAATAACTTACTGGGATCAAAAAACACCAATGCTTTAATGCAGGCCAATTCCGTATCATCTATATTGACATCTTTTAGGGCCATTACAAGCTCATCAATTATACGGGCACCAATGCGTGATATATCCAAATTAGGCGAAACACTGGCATCTAAAATTTGTAAAAAAGAAATCATAAAAAAATAAATTCCAATTAGCTCCCACGACTCTGCCAACCTTACCTGGTGAATGTTTGGTGATGACACAATTATTGCTCAGCAATAGAACGTCTTTTAAATGCATCGATCTACGTGATAGTCCCAAGAGTAAATGCTCACCGGCATGTGCCCTCAACAGGGCCACCTGATCGTCCAGCTGCAGTTCATTGAAGGCCGGTATGTGTTTGGCCCATTCGACTAGTGTCAGTAGCTGTTGTTTCATTGATTCGCAGACATCATTGATGCTGGCAAATTGTTTTGTGGAGAGATCTTCATTGGCATTTGTTTCCATGGCAGCACCAGCTTTCGATTGGCGACTTTCCAGCTCGGCCTTGACCAACGATGTAACCGACAGGCCATTGCCGGGATCCGGGTCATCGTTGGAGGTGCGACGACAGCTAATGCGATCACGTTCATTTTGTACGGCTTCTTTTTTCATGCCAGCCTTAAAGCATTTGCGCAAACGGCAATAGCGGCATTGGTTGCGTTTGTCCTTGTCCACGACACAGTTGCGGGAAAATCTAAAAGAAAATGCATACTTTAATTGAAAATCTTTTTTAAACAGAATTTTGAATTCCGAAATTACCTGCAAGTGTATTGATGATTTTTGCGTACACTGCGTCTAAAGAAGCCCTTGCAGCCATCACAACTGGAGGCTCCATAATGTTTACCCGTGGCCCGATCTCCGCATATTGCACACACCGTGGATGACTGTGAATTGGCTGCACTGCTGATGTTGTTGTTTCCCGATGCAAACGATGTACTGTTGTTGTTGCTACCCGTACTGGCCGGTGAATTTGCATTACTATGATTACTGTTGCTATTGTGACCCAATGTTGCCAATGGACTTAATTCCTGACTGACTGGACTGTGAGCATTTGTACTGGCCGCCACCGATATTGCCTCCGAGTGTAGCATGTGATTCTCAGGATCTAAAATAAAGTAGAGAATTAAGAGTAATTATTTTGAATCTGTTTACAAATCATATTTCTATAAATCATGGATTTAATGGCTGTACGTTGTAATGTCGGGATTTGTGTTTTCATGTGATTATTGTTGTTGTTGTTGTTAAAAGTCTTGTATAATTTTTTGAGATGCAAACCAATTAATGTCTGTTGAAGTAACTGATATTTTTTCGCTATTGCAGTTTGTTATATTAAATTGTTGTTAATTAATAGCAATTAAATTCTCGCAAAAAATCTTCAATTGGAGAGCGAGGGAAGAGAGAGAGCGAGAGTATTTTGAATTTTTTCACAATCTAAGGAGTACAGTGGTAAGATAATTAATAGAATCTAGAGCAGATCACTTATAAAGCCCTATATTTATCACCTAATCCATAGTAGTTGATTTATTAAATCGTCTATTCCAAAGTCATCTACTCGGAATTAGATGTCATGTGAAATCATCTATTCGGTAGTACATGACTTGTGGTGTAGATGTCATGTGAAGTCATCTACTTAGAGTAGACTACGTGTGAAGACATCTGCTCAGCTATTGAGGTAATTTGAAATCATCTACTCTACAGTAGATGACTTGTAATGACATCTACTCTACAGTAGATGATTTGTGATGACATCTACTCTATTGAAGATGACTTCACAAGACATCTACTCTTTGTAGTAGATGACTTGCGAGGTAATCTACACGGTAGTAGATGGTTTGCGAAGTCATCTACGATATAGTAGATGTCTTTCGAGGTCATCTACTCGGTAGTAGAGACTTGCAAAGTCATCTACTTGGTAGTAGATGACTTGCGAACTTATACAGGGTGAAATGAAAAAACTGCAATCAACTTCAGACTGCTGTCATTTCTAAGCCACTTGTCCGACAGCTGTTAAAATTATTCCAATGACATCTCATTATATTATTTACAAGCGTCCAAAAGCATTTTGGTGGGAATTTTCCAGAAAAAATATTATTCGTGATGGAATTCAAGCGTGATTTCTTTATATTTGGCTGGAAAGCCACAAGCGGCTATCGTTAGATCACTCCGGCATTTAAATGTGAATAAATCTTCTGGGGCTCGCACCATCGTGATACTGGTAGCGTAGCCCGATCTCAAGGAAGAGGACGGAAGAAAACAGCAAAAATGGTTCAAAAAGTAAAGAAGTGACTTGATTGAAACCCGCGTCGCAGTGGTCGAAAAATGGCTCATGAGCTGAACATATCGCAATATTCCATTCGGCAAATATTGAAATATGAGCTCGGGGTAAAGCCATTGAAATTCCAAAAAGTGCAAGAACTTACACCGCAACAGAAAGAAACTTGACTCTAAAGAGCTAAAGAGTTGCTTCGCTTGGCCGAAAGTGGTGAACTGCCGAATTTGGTTTTCTCTGATTGGAAAACATTCGTTGTGCAGCAGTTTGTAAACAATCAAAATGATCGTGTTTACTTGCCAAAGAGATCGGCTGAAAATGTACACCTTCGATTGGCCACCAGAACTCAAGCGCCGGCCATGGTGATAGTGTGGGCCGCCATAACAGCCGATTGTCGCTCTCCGCTCGTATTAATCGACCGTGGCATCAGAATAAATGCCGAATATTATCGAGAAAATATTCTGCAGGATGTATTAAAGCCTTGGGCCGGCAAACATTTTAGCCGCAGACCTTGCACATTCCAACAGGACTCAGCACCATCACACTCAACACGCACCACCCAAGAATGGTTAAAAAATGAGGTTCCTCGCTTCATTTCCAGCGCACAATGACCACCAAAATCTCTGGATACCAATCCGTTGGACTATTGTGGCTGGAGTATTTTGTAAAGCAAGGTTTGGTTGGTCGCTCTCCGCTCGTATTAATTGACCGTGGCATCAGAATAAATGCCGAATATTCTGGAGGGTATATTAAAGCCTTGGGAATGCAAACATTTTGGTCGCAGACCTAGGACATTCCAACAGGACTCAGCACCATCGCACTCAAATGAGGTTTTTCGCTTTATTTCCAGCCACTAAAAGAGTATTTTGGAAACCAAGGTTGGTACTAAAAAATACCAAATTGTCGATCAAGCGCTTCGCCGGGAATGGTTCAAAATACCGCAAACAACATTCGGGCAGCGTGTGACGGTTTCATTGGCCGTGTGAAGGCCCTAATTCGTGCCAAAGGTGACCAATTCCAACAAATCTAAAGTTTTTCAAAAATTTGATGCTATTTGCGACATTTTTTGCTTTAATTCAATAACATTTAAAAAAAAGTAAAAATTATTACGTTCGACTTTTTTGAAGTTTTCTTATCTCACCCTGCTGTATACCCTAGGGTAGATGACTTGTATGTCACCTATGACTTGTGATGTCATCTACTCTATATCAGATATCATCTGAAGTCATCTTCTCTATAGTTTATAACTTGTGTAGTGACAAAGTTCCTAAGTTGTTTTTCCTGTCCCAGCAAAACACTGTGCCGTCACTCCTTCCCATTCCGACTTGTATTGCCTGTTTGCCGTTGTTTGTTCTTCATTGAAAGCTTTTTTATTAATAGTCAAAGAGAATGAGAGATAACTGCAAAGAAACAACATACATTTACATACACGAGACCATGGCTGACAATGTCAGGGATGGGAGTTTCGAATTGTTTTCTTATTATTTTTTTTTTTACAAATAAAGTATTGCCAATGAGAGCTTTGAAGTTATTGGCAAAAAATAAAATCGGGTAAAATATGTAAGCTCCAGCAGGACAAGAATATGATCTATGGAAATTCCATTGTACAACTCCCTTCTATAAAAAATTTCTTTTCAGATCCTCTCTGAACTATTCCTCCCTTTTTATAAAGACCTTTTTGTTCGGAAGAAAGAATTTTTTATCCGATATAAGATCGTCTTTATGGTACTTCATTCTTATTCAAGCCTCTCTTTTCTATTTGAAAATATTTGTGTTATGATTAAAATACCCTTTGCTTGGGCGCCAAAATTTTCCGCAACGGAACCAGTATTTCTACCACCCATCAATTACAAATGCATTTCCTCCATAAATAGCTAAGCAATTAGAACTGATTGATTTTTAATTTTATTTTTCTCAATTCATAAAAAAGTTACTTGAAATGCATTTAACGTGCGATGCAATTAGACATCGTTTCGATGGCAATTAGCCTTTTTTAGTTGAACCTTTTGCGGGGCTGGCTCTCGTAGTTTATGCAAAATGGTAATACGGCAAGCAAACAAAATGAGCGCTCATTTAATTGCAAACAAGTTGTTGTGGATAGCTAGCCAGCTAGCAGATTTTCAATACTTATCTGGCTCATCATCATCGTTAACACTCTCCACAATTGGCATTACATAAACGCCAAGTCTTGCCATTTTAGACGGCATTTCTTTGCCACAGCTATGACTAGCAGGTGAGTAAATAGAACAACAACGACAACAACAAAGATCTTATATTTAGCTGTTAAAAACATGAAAAAATCAAAAATATTATTTTTTGACTAGTCAGCATTACTGAGTTAAAAAGTCAAAGTTGGCAGCGGCAGCAGCAGTAGCAGCAAAACTGCTGCCGCGGCCTGATACGACGCTAACTGCCAGCCAACCAAACAAACAAACAGAGCAGCGGATAGGCGATATGCTAAACCAGCCTAGAAAGTTGTTGACACCAGCCACAAAAACAACAACAATGCCGGCCACATAAACTATCAGCCGAACGAGCCCCCACACCACCCCTTCGGAAGATGTTTCTTTCACTTGGGGTCGTCTACACGCTTATCGAATTTTTAACAAGAGCACTGGCTCAGGTGTAATTGATAACAAACAAAATAACAGGCTTTATCTGCTTCAGCTATCTTCTGAACAGCTCAATGGAAAACGAAGACATTAGTTCGTCTCTGGTTTTTGTCTTTTGGCCCTCTTCTTTTATTTTTTGCTTTATGACTGCGGCGTAACTGGACTTTGAACTTATATTTCCCTATGAGTATTGAGCTGCGTCACATTTCAAAGTTCAACTAAAATCATAGTTGATTGAGAATTTCATTGTCGTCTGTGATCGAGACGAACCTGCAAAAAAAAATGAAAACGAAAAAAAGATGGTTGGTTGCTGGCGTTTAGTCAGCGACCAGCAAAATATTGCTGTGAGACAGTTGCTTGTGGTTGGGTCGTCTGCTCGAATTATTCAATTTATTGATGGTGTTGACAAGTCGCGTTTATTATTAGGTGGATTTTCAATGTAGTCGATGAGAATGTCATGATTTCTGTTTCACTGATCTTGTGGTTGGGACTTTTCAGCCAACAACAACAACTGATCTGAACGAACAGATGATTGTTGTTTTTTTTCCTAAGAAAATTTCGTCTTTTGCGTAAACAGAAGAATTTTGTCAACCAACCAAAACAGCAGCCAAGCAAATCTCAAATCGCTAATTGTGTGTGCTACGCATGAAAATTGTTAGCTATTTTTAGTTTTATTTTTGTTTTTTATTTTTTATTTTGTTTTGTTTTCAAAAATAAAAAGGAAAATGCTAAAGCATGTTTCGAAGATAAACATTTGCCCAGAAATATTTGCCCACAAATCATTTGCAATACCTTGGGTGCCATAAAAATGAGCGAAACTTATTTATAAATATCCACATGCTGAGTATCCAAAACGTCTAGTGGGTAGAACCAATGGATAACAAGCCCCCTTGTTTGGAAAGGAGGTGTGTACCAAAGCACAGATACATCTTAGATTCTGAACATTGGTCTCCAAGATCATCCAGGTCCACATATTCGTACATTTAGACATGATTTTTTTTAACAGTAAAAGAAGTCTTAATGTCGGGCGGGGCCGACTTTGTGATACCCTACATCACTTTGCATGTTTAGTAGAGTTTCACATAACAATTAAAAGTTTTTATGGGATAATTAATTACATTTTAATTAAAAATAATTAAAAGTTTAAAGGACAATTAACTTGAAATCGGACAATTAACTTGAAATCGGATATATGGGAACTACATTCAAATCTGAATCGTTCTC